TGTGAGTACACATAATGTAACACAAGAATCCGTGACATACCATATACGTACTAGTCGCTTTATATACCCTATTCGAGATTCAGTTCAAAGGAAAATTTTAATGATTCCAATGATTGTTGAACTTATATGTGTCTATATAATATTTATTTTTTATAAAATAAATAATATAAATATATATAAAATTAATGAATAATATATTATATATTAAAATATTAGATTATAAAATATTATAAAATATATATAAAATATTAGATGAATAATATATTATATATTAAAATATTAAAATATTATAATATAATATATTAAAGATTTGTTTTAATCTAATATTTTTGTTCTTCTTTCTCTAATTCTATTTAAACAAATAGAATGCAATTTTTAAAATAATTTTGAAAAATTGGCTATTAAAATTAATCTGAATCCAAAATTTTAGAATCTAATGTTTCTTTTTCTTGAAGATTCTAGAGTATAGATACAATTCTTCTCTTTCTTGCTAATTGAAAGTTTACCCTCTCATCATTCACCGTTCTCCCTTCTTATCACAAAACGTATATATTCGTGCACACAATTGCTATTTAGTCACACTGGCGCACAAACGCATTCCTACGATTCTTATTTCTAAACACATGGTCACAATTCGCCCTCGAAAAACTCGTAGCATTATATTGCAGGGTGGACGTCACGAAACTTATATACAGCCTATTCAACATCTCAGAAATGAGGAAAGTATTGCAATACATATGATCGACGAATCATTCGTTTCTTAGATATATATATATATATTTTTATGAAAGCTCTGTTCCATAATAATAGCATTTTTTAACAAATGACTTTTATTATATTTATAAAATATATTGAATTACATTATAATTGATGATTTTTCTTTAATTAATTTATTTTTTAACAATTGGAATGCTTTGAAGAGAAAAATTTCCAATCTCAAATTCAAATGAATATCTGATAAAATATTTATCTTTTTTTCACCCATTGTCTACTCGATAACCAGATAAATTTTATTTATACATACTTTATTTTATTTATACATTAAGAAATCACAATTATTTTTCAATTTCAATAAATATAATAAACCGATACAATAATAAAAAAAAAATATCCAAATATCCTAAATTGAAAGATTGAGATCGAAAATAAGAGAATTTCTTCAATAATATAAAATAACGTTATCGCGCAATGGACTTGTCTGTTGCACAAGCGATTTTACGATCGCTCGGTCCGGTTTGAAGTCCCTCCAGAAGCAGGTCGTGCCCTCCAATCGTCACGAGGTCCTCGAACGCGTTTCGATAGAAGAACCCTCGTAGCTGCCCCTCACCCGTTCGAAGCTCGTTTTTTACTCGAAGTAATTTTTAGGGTGGCGAGCGAACTGTGACCATCGGGAGGACGGGCAAAACTCGAGTTGGGGAGGGGTGGTAAGAAGTTTTCTCGAAGAAAGATCGGGGTACCGATTCGAGTGTCGTGCCACTTTCGCGCCCCCATCTCTTCCCCCGCGGCTATACACCTTTCTCTTCTTTTCCAACCCCTCGAGATGTGAAACTCGAACGGAATACCCTATTAGGAAACGGTGCACGATTTTTGGAGATAATGATCCTCGAACTTTTCCAATGGCCTCTCTACCCGACGTATAGCCTTTTAACTTGCCGCGGATTACGGGGAACTTTTCTTCGTCAAATATTTGAATCAGGAGGGAGGTGTACCGCGTTAATAAGCGGGGTTGGATTTGATTACCGGGTATTTGGTTAATGGGTGAGTTGATTCGAAGCTGATTCGAAGCATTGATTGGAAGAATTATTGATCATTTTTATTTAAATGTGCGAATAATTGGAGACAGTTGAAGGATAATTATGAGATTATTTTTGAGTGAATGTAGTTTTTTAGGATAGTATGGAATAAATTTTATTCTTTGGAATTTTTTGATAATTATTTTTTTTTTTTTAAAAGCCTTTGAATTTTAAGATAAATTTTATAATTATTGTTAAATTAAAGAAATATTTAAATTATTCAAGCAATGACAGAATAGATTAATATAATATACAGCATGAAAAAAAAATTTTTAAAGTTTCTTTGAAGACGTTTTGATTCTTAGAAACAAAAATTAATATGCAAAAATATTTATATTATTAATTCAATATATCTAAAAAGCTTATTTGTCAAATTTTAATTCAGTTTTACAATAGATGAAACTAGAACTCTTCTTCTACCTCATTTTTATTTAATCTGCAAATTAAATTATTTATAACATTTGTATTTGTTTGTATTTTATTCTTTACAATTATTCTTTAAATTTTCTATCAACTTCATTCGAATAATCTATATAAATCTTATATGAAATTAATAATTTAACTCCTATAAAAAACTTATTATTGTATTATAAACCTAATGTTATATATTGGTATTAATTACAAACAATATATTAAGATATAAACATTAATAATAAATATATGCGAATGATATGCGTGTTACATAACTGTGGTAAGTAATAGATTAAAAGCGCTGAAACGGAAAGTCGTTTGCCGTAAAAAAATATGTCGACCGCAATTATCCCCTTGTCGACATATGCAACTTACTGTATTAATCCTAGTTGCGTGATGGATACGACGTTTCTTGTGGTCAGAAAACGATTCATAACCGCAAAATACCTTAATACGTCTTGAAAGGTTGTTATCATTTCTTCGCCTCCCATATTCTCTCCAATCGATTCATTTTTCTTTTATGAAGGAAAAATCACTTTTCCGCCCCTTCCCTCATAATTTCAAATCAAACGTGACATCCGTTTCTTTTTCGTAATTCTATTACGATTCATTGATGAATAGTCGAAAAAATTATTCAATAATAGCAATAACTAGAAAATTTAATTATTTTATTATTTAATTATTTTTCCTATTAATTATTTAATTATTCCTATTAATTTTTCCTATTAATTATTTAATTATTTAAGTATTAATATTTCCTACTAATTATTTAATTATTTTTCCTATTTTTAAAATTTCGTATATAATATGTTATTTTGTTATTGAAATTAAAAAGAAAAAGAGAAGTAAAAAGATTCGAAGGTTTTGATTTGAATATTTTTCGATGAAAGTAAATTGAATTGACGATATCGATTTTCAGAAATTCACCTTGTTTCCTATATTCTCACTCTTGGGACCTGGTTTTTGTTCAGCTCTCCGTGTTTCGGCTGCTTATAAACCGAAAGGGGAGAGGAAGAAGGGGGGGCAGAGACGCGTGGCCGAAGGGTTGGACGGACCGTGGTGGAAAGTGAGTTTTCCACCACCCTTCCGCTTTTTCTTCGTTTTCTATCCGCCACGTTTCCGCGCACGCGTTATTTCGTGTGAATGTTACACAATGATATACACAGGGTGACACAAAAATTTCTTTGAACTTCTTTTGTTTATTCTATAAAGAAATAAATTTTATAATAAAAAAAAAACATATATAAGAAAAAAGATAATAATAAAATAAAGAATGTTTAATAAGATGTAAATGTATAATAAAAATAAAAAACAATTTGTTAATATTCTGCATAATATTATGGAACTAAATGTTAAATATCTAACTTTATATGTTAAGGAGGTTGTTTAAAATGTTTTTCATATATAATAATAAGATGATTATAAGTAATATATTTTTACTCACACTTTTACTAAAAAAATTGTTCTTCAAGGTATGCTAATAATATTAATGATAGTAATGATAATGGTAATGACAGTTATAATAAGAATAGAAAACAATAGTAATAATAATAAGAACAACAATATATCATATTTATTATGCGAAAACAAGATGCTGTGTAGATGTAATATAAATGAGATTCTAAAAAAAAAAAAAAAAACATGATATTCTTCCTTATGCTATAAAAGATACTATTCAGTTTTATTTTAATGTGTTTCAAAAAGAAAAGAGACTGAGAAAAGTAAAATATAAACTGGTTCTGCAATATATAACAAACGAGAGGAAAGTCATTTAATATCTGTTTTATATCTATAAGGAACTTGAAAGTCGCGTTGTCTATTAATAATTATTATTTTATTCTAGATAGTTGATCTATGTGTGTAGAGATGGAAAGAATATTTTTCTTCTAAACGATATCTCATTGAGGATGATATTATAGAGAGTAACGTATTATCAAGAGACTTTTGACGAGTTCATATCTATTATATTAGATAATAAAATGTACAGTTATAATATATAGTATATATACAAGATAAAATCTTTATGATATCGCCTGATTGTAAAGATTAGTTCATCCTTGAATACATCTTTGATAGAGGATGTATTCAAAAATTTGAATATATAATTTTACATAGAAATTATGTAAAGCATATTTTAATTTTGCCTTAATTCTTACAAATGAAGATGAAATCTAATATTTGAAGCATTGCATCTGCATTGTTATTGTATCAATCCTTATTATTTTGATTTATTATTTGATGCTTTTATTTAAAATCACGTTACATCTTACATAGAGGCTATGCAGGCTAACCGAATGCACATCTTGAATACACAAAGAATGAGTAAGTGGGGATGAAATACTTCCTCCACTTTCATCCTTTATTTCTTATTGTTAGTTCCTTAGAAGTAGTGCGTGAGAATAATTTGAGTTTAAACGTAGGATTATTTTTTAATTGATCATCAAGTTGAATCTTCTACTTCATACTTCTTTCATAAAATTCAACATAAGTTAAACATGAAATATTTATTGATACAACTAAAGATAATAGCATATTAACATATAATAATGCATTTCACTATGGAAACTGAATTAAAGCCAAGATATAGTTCATGCTCCCCAGACAGAGATGCCACAATCATTTTTCAGTTGTGTTAGAGATTTAGATATTATTAGATCACAATAGAAAGACATTAATAATGAACATGATAATAGTAAGTCAATTAAGAACGATTTATTTTGTTTTTTTTTTTTTAACTTTTTTTTTTCCTAACAAACCAGTTATTTTATGACAATAATTATACTCCACCCTGTATAGACATTGGTGAAGCGAAGAGGAATTCTCGTATATCTTCGGCTCGCCGGAGGCAGCACTCAGCCTTCGGGATAAGTTCGTTAGAGTGCCCTGCTGTCTTCTGCTCCAAGACACTCCCGAAGGACGAGGAGGGTCCTTCGGTATTACCTTCACCTTGCTCTTCAGAGGCTTCCCGCCCCTTCAACTGTCTTCTAATTTCCAACGTTTCGACGATCGTTCAATTTTCACAATTTACGGAGCCGTTTAACCCCTATAGGTATTTCTCTTTTTTTCTTTTATTTGGCAAATGATGATTTAGCACCGCTGACGATTAATAGATTTGATTTTATGTGGTGTTCATTTCAGACGTGTAATCTTAAAATGTTTTTTCACTGATCTGCAATAAGAAATGATAAATTCAGATATAACTTGATTGATATAAATGTACTTTTAACTTTTAAAAGTCTAGTGAAAGTTGAATTATTTATTTTAAATTGTAATGGTTTTGGATTTGTGAAAGTCAATGTTGAGAAAAATTAACCTGCATTAGATTCGATATTAGAACGATTTTGAACTTGTAAAATAAGATACAAATCAGTTTGCTTTATATACTCAAGGTTGGCAATTCAGGACTCACAAGTAATTCGATACTCAACATCTTCAGAGTCGTGAAACTCGATATTAGTAATACAGGACTCATGAAATTGGATACTGTGGATATCGAACGTTGAGAATACGATAGAGAATATTGGAATTGTTTATAATATAGAATATAGGCCACGTTTAGAAAGTCAATTTTAAAATTAACAAAATTCTGGGAAGAATCAGCAATTTCAGAAACAATGAAAAATTCCAAAAGAGATTCCATAAATCAGCTACAATATTATGAAATCAAAAACATATAGTGTCATTTAAAAAAATTAATAATAAAAATGAAAAATGAAAATGATTATTAAAAAAACCATTTTCAAAAAAAATACTTCTTATTTTCTTTTTATTACAATTTATAACCAACAAAAAATTTTTATTTCAAACATTTTTTTTTCAGATTATTGGAAATACCTCATAGTGATATACTCTATATGCTTATTTTCTTCAATCTATTGAAACCAACTATTGGTCAAATCAATTTCCTATATATTTTTATCTTCAACCATTCAACTCAGAAATTCTTTTCTTTCTTGAAATAAAAAAAAAAAAAAAAAAAAAAAAAAAGAACGGAAAGAAAAAAAAATCTTCGATCAGTCCATTCGAAAAATACCGTTCCAGCTAAATTGACTCGACGACAAATTGGTATTGCACGGTTACCGCCATAGGAAGGCATAAATGTTATTCGAGCATGATGATGATGATCGATGCGGCGCGCTGGATTCAAGCTTGAATCACTCGCGTTTCAGACGCGTCGTATCCTGGCTAGTGTGCAGGGACGACGGGTGGCCAGACAAAAAACGTGTTCGCTACGAAGAATGGACCTTGATGCAGAGAAACTCGCTTCTGGCGAATCGAGAAACGACCTCGAGAATCTCCTGATTCTCGGGAAACTGTTTCTCTGGGAAATTGTTTTCCATGAATCTTGTTGATTGTGATAGGATATATCTTTGTGGAAAATTGGTTAGAAACGTTTCATGAATGTTCTAATTTTTTTTTTTTTGCTAATTTAAACTAATAAGATAATTTCGAAAAGATTTTTTTTTGTTTGAATCGAGGTAAAGTGATTTTTTTTAAGAATTTTTAATAGTTTTCATTCTTCAGTGTGAAAAATAAATAATCTTTTATAGAGGTATCTTTTTTTTTAGTTTTTAGTTTGAGATGAAGTTTTTTTTTTTGGTTTTCATTATCTAATTTTTGGTGGAAATTTCTTTCTTTTTAATTTAATGTAATAATAATAACATTGTAGAAGATTATGAAAATTTTTTTATAAAATTTGTCATATTTTAGAATAAATATATTTACTGAATTACATCAAGACAAAGAACATCAAAATAGAGTTTAATTTAAAAAAAAAAAGATTAATTTCTTGAAACATAATTTTTTTCTCTTAAAAATCAAGAAACTTACTGTATAAATTTTTATATATTAGAAAGATTTCTGTAATAAAAATTGTATATTATTTAAAGATTAATATATCATTTATGAGAAGCCAAAATATTATTATCCATCAATCAATATCACATACAAATTTGAACATTATTAAGAATGCAAATAATTCCAGACTAAAAAAGTCCATGATTTACTGATTTTTATGTTTTATAATCATATATACTCTGATATCCAAGAATATTATCTTATGCAAAAGAGAATTCTCAGAATATGAATCAAGACTGTGGAGATAATATTTATTGCAACAGAATCCATTTAAGAATCCATTAATGAGTATTATATTATTTAAATCATATGAAATTTTATTTTATCTCTTAAATGTGAATTTTCTTTGAAAATCAACTAAATATAATTATTAGAATATTAATAAAATTTAATAAAATTTAATTAAATATATATATATATATATATATAACATATACATTTTATTTCTTTCTTTAATTGTCATTACAAGAAAATTTTGTGATTTTTGTTTAAAAATTATGAAATGCATATAATTTTTTACTTAATTTTAAAATTAATTACTGCATTTATTTATAATTATTTTCTTAAACTTTTTTTTAGAAAGATTTAAATATTTTCAATTTCTATTAAAAAGCTTTACAATTTTGAAATTAAAAAATGAAAATTTGAACTTTAAAATTTATATTTTTTTTTTGATGTGAAATTTAAAAAAAATCAAAAATAAAAAATTTAAAGATTTTAAAATAAAAAATAAAAGATTTTAAAATAAAATAAAAAATGTATAAATTTTCAAATTTTTAAAATAAAAAGAACAAAAATCAAATTGTACCTCCCTAGGATTCATACCTTTATCTGTCAGCGATAACGAATCGCATCTCTGCTATATTTATCCTAATCGTCCCCTTCCTTTCGACTTCCTTCACGCATTTCCAGCTGGTGTTATTCTCGAGGAACCTTCTGCAGAAACTTCTCCTCGTTTTCGGATCGATTGCGCGAGCCAATCGTCGAGGACACGGACGAGCGCGATTTACGAGCAGTCGGCTTAAAGCTCACGATCCTCCTCTTTCGAGTTGCTGCTTTACTTACGCAACCATGCGAATTCTACTTCTCTCTTTCACTCTTTCCTCTTTTTCCTTCTTTGTCTTTGAATCTCAGCTAGAGACTGTCGACGACGACGGGCCCCTCTGACGATAAACCCTCTCATCGACGAGGGGCTTATCGCTTCGAATTATCCGCGCTCAGGAAGAAGAGACGAAAAGGAAGAAGGTAGATGAGAGGGGGAAGGTAGAAAGGGAAGATTGTCGTTTGTTTGAAAATTCGATGAAATCGTCTTAGCGAAATCGAATGGAAATTGTGTTTAAATATTTTGGATATTGTGTTGAAATATTTTAATTGGATTTTTAAAATTAAATTATTTTTAGAATTAATAGATATTTCTATTAATAGAATTAATAGATAAATAAAATCATTTATTTAATGATTAATTATTAGAAATTTTAGGAGTTTGTTAGATAACATTTCAGAAATAATATTCCATATTATTAGAATTATGATTATCGATATTTATCGATATCGTTATCGATAAATAGAATATTGATATATTATTGATAATTCGATATATCGATAATACATCGATAATATATTGATCAATAACAAATGAAAGTAATTTAAATTCCTATTTTTTCATATTAATCTATTATTAAAAATATTATTTGTAATATATATATATATTTTTATAAAATAATAAAATATCTTTAAAATATTAATGCGAATAAAATTTAAATGTTTAAATGAAGTACAGTTTAAATGAAGTACAATTTTTCAATATTTTTATTGAAACTTACTACAAATAATATTTTTACATCTTAATAATAATTTTAAAAAAAAAATAAAAATTTTATTTAATTACTTCTATTCATTAATAATATTTTATATTATATCGATATTTTAATATTATATCGATATTATCGATATTGTTATCGATTGAAGACTATCAAAAAATATTAATAAAATATCGATAATCAATAATCATAATTCTAATTTTAAAGAATAATGCAATTTTGAATTCAAACTTTATTGTAGAATTTATATATATATTTCTTTAAATTTAAATATTTTAGTTTATTTTTATAAATATATTAATCTTTAATATATAATCTTATCTTAACCTATACTTTCATATTTATGTTATACTTTTTTGCAACTTTAGATTTATTAACATTTCAATATATAAAATAAAAATAATAATAAAAAATTTTAGATTCATTAATATTTCATATTTTAACACACAAAGAAAAATAATAAAAATATTCTATACAAGCTTTTCTGTAATGATTAATATAACCACAAATTTCATCGAAATTAATTTCTTTTACGAATTTCTTTCTGTTTCACAACCAATGAAAAAAAAAACAGAACTTGTATTCAAACCATACCATTAATTTTCCCACGATTATCTTGGAATAATCGTCGATGAATTTTTCAGGCAATAATAGTAGAGTGAGAAAAGATCCAAGCGGCACGTAACTCGTAAATCGAGCGGATCGACGTAATTCGAAGCAACTTGCATGCGCATGCGCATTGGCGAACTTTACACCCAGATCAGTGTTGGCCCCTCTGGTTACTGCAAAGCCAGGATAATTTATCGGCAATAATAACGCAGGCAACAGTCGGTCGCTCGTCAAAACTTTCTTGCCCGATGGCCGCACATACATATATCACACCCTCTCTTAGTTCCGTCTTCGTTCTACTATGGCAAAGTTTTCCGTTTAATAAGTTTCAGCAATTTTTCACTTTTCCAACAACGTGTTATTCGGAGAAACAGAGAGTAGAAAAAGGAAAGATCGTTGATTTTTCGTAGGGTGAAAACGACTTTCGCTTTCAAACTCGCGTTAAAGTTGTCTGTAACATTCATCGAGGATTTGGAATGGTGATACATAATGGATTTTTTGATAAAGAAGATCATAAAGTGATTCTGTGAAGATGGTGTTAGGTTAAAAATCGATTGTTTTATTTAACTGGTAATAATAGTAAAATACCGTTAGATTTAGGTTAGAATTTTTTTAATATTTAAATAATGAATTATATGCGTTAAAAATTGATAATTTTTAGTTTTGTTTTCAAAAAATAGAAAATATTAAAATAATAAATTTATAGCAATTTTAATTAAAATAATAAAAATTTTTCTTGTAATATTAATATTAATATTATTAAGAATATGTGAAAAAAATGTGTTCTGAAAAAATGTTCTTAAAATTTTCACAAAGTATTAATTTTGTCTAAATTAGAAAAGTCTGAAACAAATGACTGTCATAAAACTGTCTTTAATCTTCAAACCTGTCGAAAAAAGAAAAATAGTACATGGAAAATTTGTTTCTCGTCTACTTCGTATTTGACGCAACTAAAATGAATAGCATTTAGTATTTCAATATATTTTCATGTTCCACATATGTAACAATTTATAAAATAACTGAAATAAATTTTTAAGTACGGGAATATATTTATCGACGTATGTGAGCATATTACGTGAAAATTATCCAAATTTATGTTGTAATAATATTTCCCAAAGACATATTAAGTTACATTAAAATCACATTTACATAAATAAATTTTTTATATAAATTTTTTATATAAGATTCATATCGATAATCGAACAGTTTGATGAAAATATAAAAATATGAAAAAATATTAAAGTTAAATACGTATATGTTTAAGTGAAAATTGATTATATTTAGAATATTAAAATTAAAATTCCTAGGTAAGAAAGGAAGTTAAATGAAAGAATGAAGAAAGTATAATTGTTCTATTGTAAATAGAACTATTGTTCCAAACTTAATTATGTGATTGAGGTTATGAACATGAATAAGGTTATGGACATGAATGAACAGAACTATAATTCTTTATTTGATTGTTAAGTTGATCTACTTCTTTAAATATAGATTTCTATGAATTTCAGTGAAATATGTAAGTGTTTATTTATTTAAACGAAATTATATCAAATTATATTAAAATTCCAAAAATATTTTTTAAATGTTCTTTTTTAATTTTTAGATTATTAAATATTTAAAAAAACTAATTAAAAAAAGATATAGAAACAGTTGAATTTATCAAAAAGATAAAAAAAATAGATCAAAAGAAAAAACTTCAAACAAAAAACAATGATCGATATAACTGGAAGAACCACACAAGTAAAAATTAGACAGTCAGCAAATAGGAAACGCACGAAAGGGAAAGCAAAAGAGCGAAAGCATCGCATCGATGGAAAGTGAAGGGGGGTGAGAGGAGGTTGGCGGAAAAATGTGGAAAGAGACTGAGCTAAATTAAAGGGCGTCGCGAACAAAGGCGAATGTGCTTCGAGAGCAAAACAGGCTGCGAGTAGTATAGGTGTACGCTACATAGGTGGCCATGGGGGTGTCTACGTTTGCCTCTTCGTGTCAGATCTAAGCGCGTGGCTGTAGTGCTGTTGTTGGCTGACGAGAATAGAGATGGAAAGCGAAGATACGCAGTGAATTTCAATGTGTTCTGTGATTCGTGCCCAGAAAACTATTTTCCTCAACGTAGTTGAAGAGAAAGAAAAAAAATGAATGATATAGAGACAAAAAAAAAAGAAAATCGAAGGATATACACAAGGAAATAATGAAACTTGTTGAAAAAAGGATTAATCATGAGAAAATTAAATCAAAAATTAAATTTAAAAAAACGAATGAAATCAAAGGAGCAAAAATTTGCGATTTAGAAGTAAATTTAAATTTGATTTAGAAGTAATATAATATATCATGAATTGATTTAGGTATATATGGAAAATGTAACTATACTGCATGTTGATGAGAAAATTGAAATTTATGCAAATATTAAAAAGAAATATAAGCATAACCTTCGTTTATTACATTGTTACTTTCTTGTTTTTTAATAATATTATGTATGATGTATGTGAAAATCATTTATGATTTCATTTAATTAATTATTTAATGTTTTTGTTATATTTGTAGATACATTTTGCCACTATTAAATCAATTATATGATAATTAATATGATAATTAATATGATAATAATAATTATGAACTGCAATTGATTTTAACAATTTAAATATTTCTTTTTTACATGATTGATATATAATAGCAAGTTTCATAAATTTAAATAGATTCTCTTTGGTTTTATATAAAATTTCTTTGAAATCATATAAAAATGTTTCTTTAAATTTTCGTTTCATGCAAAACTATAAATTAGATGTAAGTTAAGTATTGCATGTTCTCCAATCAAGAAATGATATTAAAGTTTCTTTTTCTTATGAAATCATATATGAAGCAATTCACGAATGATCAACAATGCATATATATACACATACATAAATAACGTAAAAAACGATATCCAGAACGATTCGTAGACACGTAGAAAGTGGTGTAGCTTTACCAGGAGAAGTGAAGACCGAATCACAGGCAGGCACCCCCCCCTGGTTTACCATAAGAATGGTCCCCATTATCCCGTAGATCCGCGCCGGGAGATATTGCAAGTCGAGAATAGCCGAAGCCAGCTAAGGGGCTGGTGACAGATGCTCTGTATGCAAATTCCCGAGCACCCGTGAAAACCCCATAACACGCCATCCTCTCGCTGATTCTCCTCTCTACCCCATTCCTCATTCTATCTCACCCCCTCCTCTTTCCACCTGCTTCCTCTCTTTACCACTCCCTCAACATTACCGTTCTCGAAGCCAAGACGTTCACCGTGATAAAGACTTTCCTTTATTTCTGTCTTTCTCGTTTCATCATCTTCGTTCACGTCTTGCTTTTTCCTTCCTTTCCTATGGTGTGAGTTTCTTCTCCCTTCGATTCATCGTCCTTGTTCAGTGATAACAACTAGATTAGTCTGTCTCATTCTCGCTATTACGAAGTTGTTCTTTGTCCTAGATACTTGTCGGGAACAAAGAAAAGGGGAGAGGCGTATCTCGAATACGGGAAAGGCGTTAATTGAAAGAAGGTAATGCACGACTCAATAAGATTTTTTCATTTCTATATAAAAAGATTTTTCAGCATCAATTTTCTGATCTTCGAGCTGAAGAAGAGGTGTCTTGTACTGATTTCTCTGGATATATTTCTTTGAGAAATTCATTTATACCTGGAATTTTTTATGTAGTTTATTAAATAAATTAGAAATGTTTTTTGAATAAAATAGAATTTAAAAAAAAAAATCTTATAAGTTTCTTTTAACATTAAATTCTCAATTTTTTTTGGTCAACAAATTAAATAAGAATATTTGTTGTAAAAGAGCTACTGGTAACGCCCTTTTGATTGGTCACAACCTTGTATCTTGTAATTATTTTCTCGAAGGATCCTTGAAGAAATTAATTAAATAATCATATTAATGCTGCTATTCGAGGTCGAATTCCCCTAGTCATTCTTCGACCGTCTTTTCTCCCCACCTACTGATCGTTACTGGATTCGTGACTGGCAGTTTAGATGTGGGCGACAGCAACAGAACGGAGCGTATCTTGAAATTAATTTAATTAGTGGTCGGCGTAGACCCAAGGTTCAGTCAAATGCTCATTAATCGCACCTGTCGTTCCAATCACCCAGTATCGTCTTAACTGTGTAGCTCCTTGTCACATAACCTGTTCCAAATGGTTTTTATTATTCCTATAAGAAATGTAGAAAAATTATTGATTTAAATATTATTGAACTTTCTGTTTTTAATATTTTCTTATATAAAAAGTATATCATTAAAATAAATATAATTAAAATAAAAATTTATCAAATAGACTTTTCATCCTTTATAATCACATTAATCAAATATAATTGAATTATTTACTAACAATAATGCATACTCGCAAATAACAGATGGCGCTCCATGTATGCAATCACTATTAGAACGCACAATATCGATAGACAAACAATTTCGATTTCTGTCGTTTAACTATGAAGTAGTCCCTGTTCGAGATATCGAAGTTCAGAATTCTTCCCATTTCACTATTGTTCGCATAATTGTCGTTTGTGCCACTTCGATGTAAAAAATATTGAGTTTAATATGCGTCGTAGAAGGTATATGTAAAATGCTTTGAAAATCAAGCATATAACAAAAGAAAATTACGGGAAATGAAATCGTAAGTGTGGTGAATGAGTGTTGAGAGAAGAGTCGAAAGTAAAAAGAGAAAACATGGCCGTAAAAACGGTCTTTTTTAAAACGAGAGCTAAAGAGAAAGAGAAATAGACGAGACTTCGGACCATTGGATGAAATTTCATCGCAGGAATTCAATTAAAAGTAATATAGAAGAGGATTAGATTTCGGGACAAAAACAAAGTTGCTCACTGATAGATAGATAAGTAAATATATAAATAGATAAAAAAATTTATTATCTTTGTTTAATGTCTTTATTTAGTATAATAAATAAATGAAATGATAATTTATTTCGGTGAATTGTATATTATTTTGATTCTTGAATATATTTTGATTCTTATTAATAATTTTGATTTAAATATTGATTTGAGTACTTTAAATATCCTCCTTAATAAATTAACTTATGGAATAAATTATATAAATTATATAAATGAGAAAACGTCATGAATATTATGTAAATATTGTTAAAGCTCTCATATCATATGCATTAAAGAAGTTGTGAAGTTTAAAACTACAGTGTGTTCAATTAAATAAAATTTGAAATATTAACGAAATATTAATTCCATATAAAATAACTATATACTAATCTAATCAATCGGATTGCCGTATTGTAAGTATTATATTATTATCTTATATATGCAGATATTAAATAATATTTAGTGGATGATTAATCAACAATTAGGATTCGTAGAAACAATATTACTAAAATTTAGATTTAATAGAATGAAAACGAAGCTTAAAGGCAACAACAATGTTTTCGTATTATATTTGTTAAAATCATAAATTAAATGTAATTCGTAATTACTTTCAGTGAATTAATTAAATATAATTTAGCTGCATAAGAAAGATAAAAATTAAATTTAAATGAAAACAGTTTACAAAGTTCGTTCAAATGTCATAGTGACTTTTATTTCGCGAGTTTTTTTTGTAATTATTTCCAGTCAAGTTTCTCAAGTTTAGGTTAAGAATAGTGAAACGGATTCATAAAAAAAAATGAGATCGAATTAAGAATGGAAATATCTTAATACTTCAGAGGATAAAAGAGAGAGAAAGAAAAAGAAAAAACAACGACCATCATCAGCAGAAAATTGGAGATGGAAAAAAAGTTTTTACGACTTCTTATTGTTTCAATGACAATTAAAAGAAGGCTAAAACGGTTGAGAGAGGAATTTTCGCCAGGAAAAAAGATAGTATTTGAAAGACAAGGGGCGATGGTAAACTTTCTTGCCATGTACCGGAGGAAAATTCGTTCAAAATGGTTTGAATTCTTGTCTCGGAAGACGAACGATCGACGCGATTTCGGAATACTGATGCGTCACGCGAAATATCGAAGGGGATCACTTGTTTCTCTATTCCTAACCTCTTCGGTTCCCTCTTACTTTCGCCTTTCTTCAATAGGGTAGAAAAACGAATGTGGTTTGAAAAACATTGTATAACTCATGTAAGAAATATCACAGAAATAATAATAGCAAATGAAGTTGTTATGGGTAATACATTTTTATTATTTTTAATGTAAATTTTTTAAGAATATATTATAATATTATATATATGTTATAATATATATATATATATATATATTGTTTAACTTGATTATATTTGATTATGATGCAATATTTAAGAAAAAATTGATTAGATATAATAAAAATTATTTTCATGGAAATTCAAATAATTTAAATAAAAAATCTTAATTTAATGTTAACATAAAATTTCAAAAGATGGAAAATATTTTTATTAGGTATAAATTAATTGGGTAAAATATTTTTTATTGATATTGTTTTAATTAGTGATTATATTTTAATAAGATTTTAATAATTTTCATCTAAAATAAAATTTAGTGTTAATATTACATAATTATGCACATTCAATCATAATTACATGCATGTTTTTCATTTACAATATTCATTTATTATTAACTTTATTGCATATACAAATTATTGCTATTCAAATTACTGCTAATTAAATTTTTTATAATTAAAAGATAAAAAAGGATATTGGAAATAGCATTTTTAAAATACCTTAGTCTTTATAGAATTAATAAATAAATAATTTCTTGGAGATTATATCCATAATTCTTTTTGAACTACAAAAGGATGCATAATAAATTCCTGCGAGTGATATACCATAGATACTTTCATATCTTCTAAATCGATTCCATATTCATAATGTTAGAAAGTGAAGTTAGGAAGATTATTTTTTATTCAGATTTTTCTATAATAATTTAATTCTTCTCATAAATATTTATAGTGACTTATTTTAGTTTCAGTTATTTTTTGTTATATTTTAATTTGTTTGTCATTCATTAAAATTATCTCATTATCATTTGGTGATAAGAAATTATTTTTTTTATTGAATTTATTAAAATTCAAGGATAGAAAATGAGAAATTTGGTCGAAATTGTGGCAAAAAAATAAAAAATAATGAGCACTGGTTTAAAGGAAGACCGATAAACAACGGGAAATGAAACATCCTTTTTTTTTCCCTCCAGTTTAACGTCTAGTCGCGGAAATGCGCTCTTGAAAGTTTAACTCTCCTCGTTTACCCGTTTATCACGGCAACAAACACTCTCCGGATTCTTGGCAGCCATTCGATTTTTAGCGGATAAACGGTCCCTTTGGACGAATATCCCTTAAGACTTATCTAAATAGAAAAGCTTTGAAACATTGAAAAGATTATTTTGTGATTATTTGAACATTTATTGATTTTTTTCATCAAATATCAATTTGAATAATAATGTAAAATAATAATTAATGAATTAAATGTTTAATGATAAATAACTTTTTTTTTTCAAGGAATAAATTTTTATGGAAATATAACTATACAAAGAAAACGATAAAATAAATTTTATTTTATCGAGAAATGTATTAGATTGAGATAATATAAATTAATCAAATGATGGACAGATAGACAGATAGAGAAACCATACGGTGTATGTTATTGGATTACTAGATTAGAGTCACGTGTCAACTGTACATAATTTTCTCTGAATATTTTTCTAGGGGAAATACAATTACAAATCATTTTCCATTATCTCATATTTCATTTGATCATATTAACTTTTATGACGCAATAATCATAGAAATTTCAATGTATCTTTTATTCATTTATAATACAATTTTCATTATTTAACCATTTTTATTTTATTAAATTCAGATATTTAAAAAAGAGAAATATTGCAAGAAAAGCAGAATATAATTGAAAGCAAGTGAAACTTTCTGGAAATAAGAGATGAAATTTCTACAAAAGGAAGAGACAGAGAGGGAGAGAAACATTTGGAGTGGTTCCGCGGTGGTGAACGGCGACGACGACCGCAAATTCTATTTGGCCCAATGGAAAACGCACACCGTATGTCGCGAGGGGTTGCAACTCACTGCTTTCATCCTGTAACCTTCCTTATTTCCTTGGTTGCGCACTAGTCGCTGGATTCTAATGGATTCCCGGCCCGTAAATCCTACCGCTAGGAAACCATCTCTCCCTCCTGCATCGATTACCATCGGAAATATTTTTGGAAATAACAGTTTGAAGATAAACAGATCAATGAAAATGTCCATGTTTTTTTTAAGAGAATTATAATTGCAAATTTCGAAAGAAATTTAAATATGACTTGAATTTTATTGTGCGGATATTCAGGTAAATTTTGAGAAATGAAATTTATTTTAGTTTTTTTAAGATTATTTTTTGTTTTGTTTTATTAAGTTATATACGATGTATATTTTTGTTTTATTAAGTTTTGATACGATAAATAGCAAGTTTACATCATATAAAAAAATTGTAAAGAAATTCATCGATATGAACTTTAAAATATTTATTTTTAAATTATGTAATGTTCGGATACATGGGTACATTCCACATGAAAAAATTAATTTCTGAAAAAAATGAATTTTAAAAGCGTAAATGATTTAAAAAATTTTCAAATTTTTTTTTTTTTGAAAATAAAGCTTCGGATGAAAAATATTTTTTTACCATAGTCATTATTTATTATAAATTTAAATAATATTTTATTTATTTATTATTATTTTAATCGCACAAATCTCAATAATTTGATTAAAACCATCTTGTAAATATAATAGAAAAGAATATAAAAAGTTATATTTGTTTATTCCGGTTGTAATTCATTACTATTTAAATTATATTAAATTGATATGAATTATATCATTAGATAACGCCGAAGTCTATCTCAAGCTATTAGTTCCAGGAATTAATAAGGATAATTTGTATATAAGCGAGCAAATTCGTAATCATGTATCCAGAGCTTACTATAATTACATTATTTAATAAAAAGTTAAACGTATACTTACATTATATTTATTTTGTTCTAGAAAGAAAATAGAAATCTTCAATACGACTATAAATTTAAATAATATTTCATTATCGAAATAAAATCAATTTTCAAGTGTCATGTGTAATCTAAAAACAGGATATTTCTTGAGAAGATTCTTGAAAATTCTATCTCATTCGTGGCTAATTCACAGTAAAGCACTCCGCAAAATTTTGTCCATTTCTCCTGAAAATCCTGTCCACGTTTCGACGAGTTCCGGCCAATAGTCCCCGAAATTTCATCTTGCCTCGACCAAATTCCATGTGTACGTCTCTATGTACAGAGATTGTCGCAACAATCGGAAGAAAGAGGCCGGTAGCAGGTGGTTCGCCCTCGGTTTTATGAGCGGTCGCCAAAGGGCAGTATACCGGATGTCGTTTACATGCGAATCGCTCATCGGGGAGAAACTCTAGCTTGGATAAACTCTGGATTTAAATGGGCCCGCAATTTATGCTAACTCACCGATTCGACGTCCTTCGTTGAACGTCGATGACGAGAAACGAATAGAGGTTGGTGGAGAGCTCCGATTCGAATCTCCTGCCCCATTTCTTTTTATTTTTCTTCGTTTCTTTGTTCGGTTTCAGAGATTCATTTAGGGAGATTTTTTGTACATATGATATTGATATATAATTCAGTTTGTTTTTGATAAGAAAATTATAGAGATTGATTTTATTAATCCAAATTGAATAAGTTTGATTCTAATGGCATGGATCAGTTTTGATCTATTAAATGATTAATGATTTAATTTATTAAATGGTTGTAAAATCATTCAGAAAAAGGGGTTAAATGTATTGTTAAATAATATTTGTTACATATCAATTGAAAGTTTATAGTTGAGTGAATTATTTTATTAATTTTATTATAAAGAAATAAATTTATATGTAATGAATATTTTAATATCAAATCCGAGTATTTTCTTATATAGATTTGAAATTCAATGTAATGTGTAAAGAATTATTAACATTATAGAATTATTAACATATTATTAACATAATAGAATTCTTGAAAAAAATATTAATCTTCCATTGAAATCACAATTGAAAAATATAATTGACAATTGATAAATGATTCTAAAAAATGAAGGAATTATTAATATTAATTAATTAAATTAATCAAATCAATTAATTGTAATAATTTTAATCTTGTTTTTTAATAGATAAAATATTTTTTTTATATAAAACTGTTTGATATAATTCATTTGTTTGATTCAAATTCATAAATGAATTAAAATACAAATATTGAAATTTAATATTTCAAATGTATCAATTAAAATTTAAACTCATTTACAAATCTATCTTTTAATTCATCTTTTTACAAATTTAAATTCCAAAGTTCTTTTAATTTAAAATTCAAATTTTTAAATTTTAATTGATAATTGATAATTTTAATTGATAATAAACTCTTCATCATTATTGATTATGATATCATAAATCTATTATAAATATAATAATATCATAAATCATTCGAAAATTACATGCAGGGAAATTGCTTTTCATTGTCACTCTTCATGATCAACGAATTTCGTATTCAAACCCCTGAATATTTCCTTTTGGACAAACTCGTTCTATTCCCTCAGGAATTCGCAAGACACTCGCCATTCATCATCACGAGAATACTTTCTATGCAAGACGGATCATCGACCATCCCAACGATCTCGTTATTGACGAATATTTTTTCTTCACGATCATGTTTTTATAGAAGAAGAACTCTTTTTTATGGAACATTCAAATTTCAAAGTCTTTCCCTTAATCAGAAGACGCCTCGGTGTCGCGACGCTTCTACAGCAGCTAGAGTCAATACTGTAGACGCGAGCTCATCAGCAGAACAAGTATCTATCGTGAATACTGATGCGATTCTAGAGGGTGGGTTTCGTTTGTGGTATAGTCAAGTTTCCCCCTCAATTCGTCCACGTTTAAGTAAACATGACAACAATTCTTTTCGTTTTCCACGAAAGATAAGTTCAACTATCGAGTTGTATTCTAATGTCAAAACAGTCTTTACGATCCTTATCCGAAAATAGAAGACACGAATAATAATGATGGTTGGTGGAAAAGGAATTTTCTTCTGAAGTTTGCGTGATACAATTGGGATCACTAGGGATAAAATATGAATATGAGATAAGATTGTATTTATGCGTGGAATTTTCTTGTGAATATTGTATTTTATAAATTAATGGAATCGTTGATATTTGATATTTCCAAGCTAATGTTATAAGATAGATTTTTTTTATATTGATATTTATATTGTCAAGTGAAATTTATATAAATTATTAGTATTTATATGAGAAATAAATTTAATATATCATAATAAAAATAATTTACAAAATTATAATTATTAATTACTTTTTTGATTTTATAAAATAATAAAAAGATATAAATTTATAATTACAACTTCTGTTTTTGCATTAAGTTTTTATTATTATAATATAATATATAAATATCATATATATTTTAAAATAAATTTTATAATCTATATATTAATATTAATTAATATTAATTAATATTAATTATACTAGTATTAATTATGAAATTTGAATGTTCCATAAAAAAGAGTTTCTTCTATTAGAAGTAAAGGTCTGGCAACAAATTTAGATTTTAAAATTAAATAAAATAATTTTCTATAGTATCCAAATAAATTAAATCAAAAATATTTATGTAAATTAGAGAGACAGAAATATGAATATGATAGGTAAAAAGTCGAAAAACAATTATTGTGGTGGGATAAACGAAACGGAGAGGCAGCGTGGTCGCACGATAGTCACCACGTGCTTTGAGTCGAGTAGTAACGAACAATTCCGAAAATGACCGAGCGCGAGATTTCATGTTAGAATCCGGTGTCGGAATGCTTTGCTCTCAGTCGTAGGCGCGTGCCACGTACTGTCGAGTCGGTGTGAGTTCGGTTTTGTTTTCGCTTTGACATTTATCTTTATCGTATCTTATTCTATTTAATAAATTATCGATAACTATCAATATAATTTTATATTTTTTAATCTATCTGAATTATTTGTGTTATTATTAAATTAAATAGAAACTTTTTGTAACATATAAAAATGTCTAGGATTTGTCACACTGTTTTGGTGAAACAGTGATTAAGTGATCAAATAACAAATCAGTGACAGATACGCAAGAATTTAATGATCGAATAAAAAATTTGAATATTTATGTGACGTGAGTGTCAATTAAAACGAAATGAAGAATTGTTCAAGAATATACCGGTGGCAACATCATATCAAATAAAGAGGTAGGCGAAAAAAGAACTGATATTTTCTGTTGATACTTGTTTATGCGTATCACCAAGAGATCTCGTTTTTGAAATATACGGTGATGCGCATTTGATTTATCGCAAGAATGATTGCTATAAGAAATGCGGCGGAATGGAACAGTGGTGGAAAGGTTGACAGTCTTTGAAGATGCGCCAATTAGCAGACAAGTTTCCACGTCTGTTCACGCGAAACATGAGGATTAAGGACCGTTACTTAGTGGTACAGCCCTTTTCAACACATCCACATCATGATTTTTAATTAGCTCACGGCTAACACTAGAGATTAAAGTATGTTTCCATATACACAGTTAACTTCTTCGTGTTTTGTGCGCCGGTTATTTGCGACAAGATATTTTGAGGTTATGATATATTCCTTTTTTCGTGTAAAAAGAATAAAAAGTTTAAAGTCGAAGAAATCAAAAAAGAAATTTTTTCAAGTTATAATATATCATTTTGCGATACTTATAATATCCATATATAATTATGGATCAAGTAAACATGAATTAAATAAAACTTGTCCAATTTTGAAGTGAACGAAATGTTACATTAAAAAAAATTTCATTTTTTTTATTAATATAATATTAGTAGTGCTCATACATTACTATTATAAATTATTATTACATTTTTTTCTAATGAATTTTATAAAACATATATATTAATCTATACAATATCCTACAATTCCACCGATCGTTACTTTTCTTAATCCTGTTAGAACTGGTTCGGAAGATTCTAAAGATGTCCAACAGTTTCTGTTGAAGACAAATTCCGAGCGAGCTTTACGAAAAGAGGGATCCTTATCGTGAACCTGATCTCGAAGAACTTCAACCAAGTTGCCGAGAGCATGCAATTCGAATCTCCTTGGATCTCTTGCGCCCAGTCTCTTTATCTCTCCCAACATTTTCCCAAAAGGGATTACTTTCCCATTAGGATCTTGTCTTTCGAGGACAAATAGTCGAAACTCAGCTACCGTTCAAACCGCCATGGTGATTTTTCTGCAAGAGCTGGATCCTCTTATCAGAGACCCAACAGAGATTTTTCTTTTTTCTTCGATTTTTACCCTGGGATTTCTTGATATCTAAAAATAACGCTTATTCTTCTTTTATCGTAAAGTGTTTTAAAAGTCAATTTCTTATTTTTTGTTATATTTCTATAATTTATTTTGTTTTTTTTTATAATACAGTTTTTTTATAGTAGTTTTTTATGAATTAGAAATATATTAATTTTTCTTTAAACATTCTTTTGTTTCATGTCATATCATTTTTATAATCATTTTTATAATAAAATTACATCTTTTTTTTCTTTTATACTGTATTCTCCCTATCTATTACTATAATGTTGAGAATAATAGCCATCTCATCAGTTGGAAATGAATGCTTTAGATTATTCCGATAAGCTACTAAGCGTGAAGTGTGCTCTTAGCTATAATGCCAACCTCCTGCTGGTGGGGCCCTCTGTACGGTTGACGACTTTGTAACCTGAAGATTCGTCAACGTCAGACCCCATTAGCAGCAGCCCTTCGTCTACTGTTGATTGTTAATTCTCTCTTATAGTAAATATATGATATAAGTTTCATCATATGTATTATTATACATAGAAAAAATGGCAATAAATGGTAAATACAAATTCGATTGGATCCAATCTACAATTCAAATTCTAGAAATTGAAATTATGAAAATTATTAATATTATAGACATATTTATTCTTACTAGATATTTACATTATTCTTACTCTATCTTTATATCTTATATTTAATAATATTATATATATTTATTATATATATTAAAAATTTAGATGATATTATTACATAAAATTAAGAAATATTCATATAGTTGATTTTTATTTCTCTCGTAAAATATTTTATAGCATTCTTAAAAAATATTTTATATCTCACCAATCAAAACGTGCTATTATGTTAAACATAGGAACGAAATGGAACGGAACGGACCAGTATGTAACGTACTTCACTTATAATGTGATAATTTGCAAAATTATAACTATGATTAATATCAAAATATAAGTAACATGTAAGTAAAATGAAACAATAATTTAGAAATTTATTTGAATAAGAATAATAGTTTTGATTAATATACAAAATGGGAAACAACAGTGTACTGCTCGCAACCATCGCTTGTCACTCGGTGAGATAAAGGTTAATTTAACATTACGGCGTACTAGAGCTATAGTATATAACGATGCGAATGTTAAACACGCGTTGTAAGTTCATTTTCACGCGAAATCGTAAAGTCATAGTGAAAGCACCGTCGACATCACATTTTCGACCGTTTTTTACGACTGCATACAATGTATTACAAAGATAAGAGACTCCTCGATTAAAGCTGAATTCCGAGCTATCACGCTTCGACGATTTGCGCGCTGCTCGAAAATTTACATGCTGGGGAATAGCCGGCTTGCTTATCGCATTAAGTAAATCGTTTTATTGTTGCCTTTCGTTTTACGTTCATCTTCATAAGT